CTTTTGATTGCTCTTGGTTTATATGGATGAGAAAGAGCAATGTGTGGTGATAGATTCAATTGTACCATATTTAGAATGTGATCCCCATTTTCAGCCCTTATTCTCACTTCTGCCCTATCCTGTGTAGCTTCTCTACTATATTTTTTAGGCTGTGGTTTCAGTCAAATCATTACTATTTGCTTTGTTTCCCAAGAAATTTTTGAAATTTTATTTGTTTTTCTTGACATCATCTCCTCTCTTCTACTCACTTAAGTACATGCATACAGGCACACATCATCTTTACTCCTTTACTTATTCTTCATTTTTTCTGCTGCTACATTTTTGTTTCTATAGTGCATAGGAAAGGATAGTAGACAAATTATATGCCAAGTTCACCATCTTGAACGGTAATTCAAGAAAAATCTTTTATATATTGTAATCATATATTTTGAAACCTGGCTAAAACATATTGCAGGATTCTCCAAAGCTGATTGTCCCTTGGTCACATGACCACCTGCACAACCTTCTTATTCAAAGGGAAATGAAATTACTTTGGGAAAAGCTCACATTTCTTGAGTTGTTTGGAGCTTTTATAAAATCATCTTATTGGTTAAGGAAGAGGAGAGAAATGGTGACTGAGGAGGCAAACAGCAGTGTCTTCCATGGCAGTAATCTAATTTTTTTCTTTTCTAATATAATTTATTTAAAAGAGTGGGAAAACATTTTAGAATTGAGTCTTTTATTAATCAGCATTCCCCAAAGGTTAAGCATAACTTCAGAAAAGGAACTGCACTGGAATGCAGTAAAGATGGAATTTTAAGACTTGGTGTTGCAAGATGAGGCAGGGGTGAAAAAGGACAGGGAAGAACTGGCTGACTATAGGTAAAACAAGAAAGGCCTAGAAGCTGAGGCTATGGCACACTGGTGAGCTAGGCAGACCTAGTGGACACGCATACTGAAGGAGATACCCAGAGACTGATGGGCTGGAAATCGTTCTGAAACTTGGTAGCCTATCCTGACCACCCATGAAGTGACAAGTCTGAGAATGAAATGCTAACATACTACAGGATAATGAAACATAAAAATGAAAAAAGGTCAAAAGCATGAATGATTCTGTTGAGCTGTAGAAAAATAGGCTGGAAACACTTCCACCTCGAAATTTTCTGGGTACAATTTTGAGATAATTATAGGCACTCTTTGCAGAATGAAATGTTACATACACACAAGACACAAACATATGATTTTAAATATATAGGTTCAAATTATGTTTATATTGTCTTGCAAGCTATTTCATTCAACTGTACATCTTGGATATATTCCCATATCAAGCAATACAGATTATCATCATACTTTTTTAATGCCTCTAAAGTATTCCACTATTGAGATGTATTACAATTTAAGTCCAATATTAAACCTTTTTTTGGGTTTCACTCTCTTACCCAGGCTAGAGTGCAGTGGTATGATCATGGTTCACTATAGCCTTGACCTCCTAACTCAAGTGGTCCTCCTGCCTTAGCCACCTGAGCAGCTGGGACTACAGGTGCATGCCACCACACCCAGGTAATTTTCATATTTTTTTTTTTTTTTTTTTTTTTTTTTTTTTTTTTTTTTTTTTTGTAGAGACAGGGTTTCATCATGTTGCACAGGCTGGTCACAAACTCCTGGGCTCAAGCAATTCACCCACTTCAGCCTCCCAAAGTGCTGGGATTACAGCTGTGAGAAACCACACCCAGTTGTATAATACATATTTTTTATTTTGCGATGAAGTCTCACTCTGTTGCAGGCTGGAGTGCAATGGCGTGATCTCGGCTCACTGCCACCTCCACCTCCTGGGTTCAAGTAATTCTCCTGCCTCAGCCTCCCGAGTAGCTTAGATTACAGGCATGCACCATCACACCTGGCTATTTTATATTTTTAGTAGAGACGGCCATGTTGGCCAGGCTGGTCTCGAACTCCTGACCTGACGTGATCCACCTGCCTTGGCTTCCCAAAGTGCTGGGATTACAGGCATGAGCCACCACTCCTAGCCTGTATAATACATTTTTAAATGCAGTGTGGTGTTTTGTTCTGTTTTTCAGTTAGAGATGGGTTCTTGCTCTGTTGCATAGGCTGGAGTTATATGGCATGATCATAGGTCACTGTAGCCTCAAACTCCTGGCCTCAAAAGAGCCTCCCAACTCAGCCTCCTTAGTAACTAGGACTACGGGTATGTACCATCAAGCCTGGCTACTTTTTTTTTTTTTTTTTTTTTGGTAGAGATAGGGGTCTTCCTATGTTGCCCAGGCTGGTTTTGAACTTCTGGCCTTAAGTGATCCTCCTGCCTCAGCTTCCCAAAGCACTGGGATTACAGGTGTGAGCCACTGTGCCTAGCCCACTGCAATTAGTTTTAATTAGTTTCCCAGCCATGCACTAATTCCAAACCACCCTACTCAATATTGCCAAAATAATCTCCCATTCCCATTTTGTGATTGCCAGACACTGACTGCCTATTATACTCAATTCTTTAAATTCAAAATTGAGTCTCCTTATAGACTAGTTTGTTTACATTTTAACTTTGTCACTACCTTCTATTAAGAATGTTCCATTACAGATAAATAGGTTACTTATTATCGCAAATGCAGCTATAGTTTTGTTTCGTGGCTTTCCTCATGGCATACTTTCTGGACAGTCTTCCTCTGTGTCATCAGGGGCCATTTTCATTAGGCTGTCTTTCCACTAACATTTGGGGAAGCTGGGCTTGATGGCATGTACCTGTAGTCCTAGACTTGGGAGGGTGAAGCAGAAGAATCATTGAGCATAGGAGTTCAGCGTTATTCTGCACAATGGTCATGCTTGTGAATGGCCAGTGCACTTGCATGATACAGCAAGACCCCAATCTCTTGGAAAAAAAAATTGAGGAAAACCCGGGGACTAGAAAGAGCACAAAGATAGTTCTTAGAGTTCAATGAAATAAGGCCATTCCTCAGTATGCACAGGGGATTAGTTCCATGACATCCCCACATACCAAAACCCCAGGATGCTCAAGTCCCTTATACAAAATGGTACAGTATTTGCATATAACCTATGCACATTGTCCCACATACTTTAAACCAACTCTAAGTTACTAATAATACCTAATACAATAGGAAGTGCTATGTAAAGAGTTGTTATACCCATATTGTTTAGGGTATAGTGACAAGAAAAAAAGTCTGTTCATGGTCAGTGCAGACATAACCATTCTTTTTTTCCTTTCCATTGTTTTTCTTTTAAAGTCGGTTGAATCTACAGATACAGAACCCATGGCTACAGAGGGCTAACCAGGTCTATTAATAGAAATATGGTGATCATAGAAACATGATGCAAGCCACCTATGTAATTTAAAATTTTCTAGAAGTCACATAAAAAACAGTTAAAATTGATTTTAACATATTTTATTTGATCTATTGTATATTATTTCAACATGCAATCAACATAAGAATTACAATATTTTACATTTGTTTTCTAAGTCTTTGAAATCTGATGTACATTTTGAACTCATTGCATGTCTGTTTGGACAAGCCACATTTCAAATGTCAATAGGCATATTTAACTGGTGGCTACCCTAATAGATAGGGCAGTTCTAGCCAGTATATTTTCAATTCCTTTCTTCTCCCTTAAGCCTCTGGAACTGTGATGGGAATAATCTGTCATGTGAATTCCTAGCACTTATTAGCACTTTCATTATCACGTGGCCTCCTTGCATTATTTATTTTTGTGATGAATTTGTCTTGTTTCAACTAAATTCTATGAAGTCCAGGACGAAAGACACAGGTAATCTCAAGACTGGAAATACCTTTAACAAAACCATCAACTAATTCTTCTGTTGATGTGTGGTACCAAGTCCCTATTAAGTGAGCATTCAGAATCTCCTGAAGCAAAATCCTGTGGTTGAGGTATTCACAATGCTAAAGTAGGCAATTCTTTAGGTATTGCTACAAGGACATCTTCCTTTCAGGATCTTAAGTCTGTTCCCTGAAGTTTGCATCACATAAATCCACTTCACATGATAGGTCACTTCATATTTGGAGATAGTCCAGTAGATTTCTCTCTTCTGGTTAGTCCTGGAAGGTTTAATCAATACTTCTTCACTTGCCCTGTTTTTGAGTTCTCTTCATCATTTTGCACTTCTCTAAACTAATTTCAACTTGATTGAGGTCTTCCTTAAATGCTGAACACAGCACTTCAGAGACGGTCTGACCAGTAAAGATAATAATTGGATCACTATTTCACTATTGGCTGCCTCTATAAAATAGTGCTACCAGGCATCGGAACACATTACCTTAGGAGGAAGCAGGAATGGCAGAGGAGAGTCACAACAAACACATTAACTCATACTAACTGCATCGTTGGCTTTTAGTCCAGAACTCTTTGCAGATAAACCACACAGTTCTTCAGGTTAGTTTTTCTTCATCTCTTCCTACGTTTTCAATCGAGTTAGGGAATCATCCGGCATTGTTTTTGCAGGTCTTCTGACCTAAGGACCGACTTGCAGAAATCCATAATCAGAAAGCTTATGGAAAACAGGCCTTGACACCAGAGAACTATATATACTGTTCAGCAGCCAGAGGGCTTTGGCTGAAGACGATAGCAACTACCCGTTTATTCGCTCAAATTCATCTTCTTTTACCTTTAATAGGAAGTATTTCCTTCACGTATTTACCTTACGGAGAAGGGCGGGGAGAAGTCGCGGCAGACTGAAGTAAATGCAGGGGAAGAACTCACAGGTAGAGAGCAGGACATGGTAGGCCTGGCCCGGCGCGGGCAGCCGGGGGAACTCGGAGTGGCCCGGCACGCACGCATGCGTGTCCGCTCCCGCCGGAGGGCGCATCTCCGGCGTCCCCGGTACTTTCGGCCTCTGCTCCTAGAAGCTCAGCCCGCTAGAGGCGGGAGACGCCGGACGGGAGGCGCGGGACTGGGGGCGGGAGGGAGGAGGCGGGGCGGAGCGCGCACGCGGGAGGGGCGGGGGGCCGGGAGCCTACGAGCCGACGTGCCGACGTTGGCGCTGCAGCGGGCGGTGACGTGTAGGCGGGCGCCGGCTCCACCGCGTCCCTCCTCCCGGGTCTGTGGGTCTGTGTGTCTGGCTGTCTGGCTGTCTGGCTGTCTGGCTGATTGTCCTTGCACGCGGTTCCTTGTGACTGAGCGCGACCCCGGCAAGCCCGGCGTGGAGAGCGGACTGGGCGCCCCGGCACTGCTGCCCACTGGCATCTTTGGCCCTGCCCTCCGCTCCTCACCCAGTGTGGGAAGTTAAAGTAAAACCGAAACGGAAGGAGGCGCGGTGGCAGGAGCTGACAGAGTGATGGGAAGCGCGTGAGCCGGCCTGAGAGGTGAGGAGGTGGAGGTGGGAGGAGGAGAAGGGTCGCCGCCACCAGGGAGCTGGCAGGAGGCGAGGACGGCGGGGCGGGCAGTGCGACCGGCAGAGCGATTATCTTCTTGCCTCCGGGGCAAGTCCCGACCTGTCATCCTCTTCCTGGGCCTGAGATCCATTCCGGGATCTCGCACCAATACAGCCCATTCCTAGAGTTTGTAGGTGGGGTTGGAGATAGAAAACTTAACCTAAGCCACATGTTATCCAGGTGTTAAGCCACAACGTCGCCAGATGGGGTGGTTTTTCTGTCCCATGCATGGGTAATTTGTTTTCTTTCTTTTTTTCTGTTACAAAGCCTTGGTAACTTCGTTTTCTTCAAATAGATTTTGGGAGAGAAATCTTCCTCGTATTTCCTCCCACCCCCTACACACACTGAAAAGTAAGTAGGTAGCTGACCGTGTTGGATTGTAGGTGAATTTAGCAATCGAGGAACCTAGAATGTCATTTTGAAATAAATAAATGTGTATGTGGGTGCTAGGGAGGTTTTGTGCCTACTGGGCAGTTGTTTCAAATAGGTTTTATCATAACACATATATGGAATGCAGTGTGCCATTAATGGTATTTGCTATTCTTTGGTTTAAAAGAAGCATAATTCTACGGGCTGCTAAAAGTTTGATGTGTTACCACATGTGCATTCAAACTCATAATTACATTTTCTTTCTTTCCTTAAGTTAGGTTAGATTGATAGCGTTTTTTGTTTTGTTTTGTTTTTTGTTTTTTGTTTTTTTTTTTTTTTGAGACGGAGTCTTGCTCTTTTGCCAGGTTGGAGTGCAGTGGCATTGTTGGCATTTAGTCCTATCTTGGCTCACTGCAACCTCCGTCTCCCAGATTTAAGCGATTCCCCTGCCTCAGCCTCCTGAGTAGCTGGGACTACAGGCGCGTGCCACCACGCCCGGCTAATTTTTTTGTATTTTAGTAGAGAAGGGGTTTCACCATGGCCAGGATGGTCTCGATCTCCTGACCTCATGATCCGCCCGCCTTGGTCTCCCAAAGTGCTGGGATTACAGGCGTGAGCCACCGCGCCCGGCTGATAGCTATTTTCTTTATCGCCAGATTTTATGTTTCATAGATTGAAATCCTTTTTCTGATTTTCACAGTTCTCAAAAGTTGAGAATTCAGCTTTTGGTTTTACTCTGGATTGTGCTCCAGTTTATGTTGTGTATTATTTTTAATGATGGTTATAATAGTCTTGCATGAGAAGAATGATCTTTAAAGATGCTGTTAAGCATAGGCTAAATAACCTTATTTGTATGAGTGAATTAATTTTTCATGGTTCAGCTTTCTTGATCCCTGCTGAGCAGTTTTTTTGTCATTTATTCAAGTCTTCCTATGTGTCAAACGCTGGGGTAGGACTAGGAAAGAAAGAGACAATCTCTGAGCTCATGAACTTTTCTATAATCCAGCAGCCTCCTTTTAAAAGAGAATCTTGATGGGTTCTTTCTCATGTCATGGATCTGTAGTTGACCAAACCAAAGCTTTTTAAAAGTTATTGTCAGTGTATGTATATAACTGGCATTGAAAGAGGAGCAGATGATCTTGCTTCAACAGAGTGATTTGATAGTGCCTTTGATCAAAAAGAGTGTATATGTATCAGTGGTTTTCCAGTTCAGAAGAGCAAGTTTTTCTTTTGTAAACTTGGTTTAAATATAAGGTTCACAAGTGGAAATCAGTTTCTCGCCCTGCAACCCCACCCAAAAAAGCTTTATCTTTCCAGTCTTCACATTGATCTGATTGATCTATGTGTCTCAGGTACGCCTGGGCTCAAACAGTCCCCCTGCCTTGGCCTCCCAAAATGCTGGGATTACAGGCCCCATTTTGTCTTTTTGTATGCTAACGAATTGACTGAGAATTTTGTCTTTGCTGGCTGACTGCTCCTAGTAGCTTCAGGATGGGGGCTGGTTACTAGAAAGATCAAGAAATTATTAGAAGGTTGGGACTTTCATCCCCACCCCCTAACTTCTTAGGGAGGTGAGAGAGGGGCTGAAGTAAATTAAATTGATCATCAGTGGTCAAAGGTTTCATCAATGAATGAAGCCTCCATAAAAACCCAAAATGACAGGTTCAGAGAGCTTCCAGAAGCTGAACGTGTGGAGATTCCTTGAGGTGGTGTGCCCAGGAAGTACATGGAAGTTCTGCATGGAAATTCCCTTCCCTTATAATTTACCCTATCCTATGTATCTCTTCATCTGTATCCTTTCTCGTATTCTTTATAATAAACTGGTAAACTTCTAATATTCTTTATAATAAACTGGTAAACGTATTTCCTGGAATTCTGTGAACCTCTCCAGCAAATTAACCGAACCCAAGGAGGGGATCATGTAATGGCCAATTTGTAGCTGGTCAATCAGAAGTATAGATACAAAAAGCCTGGAGCTTGTAATTTGCATCAGAAATGATGGGCAGCCTTGTGGAACTGGGCCTTCAATCTGTGGGATATGACAGCATCTCTAGATAGATAGTGTTAGAACTGAATTGGAGAACACCCATCTGATGTCTGCAGCAGAAGTGATTGCTTGCTTGGTGTGTGGAAAGAAACTCATACACATTTTGTCACAGATGTCTTCTGTGTTAATGGTTGTGGTGTGAGGGCAGAGGAAAAATGGTTTGAGTTTTTCCACTCTCTCAAGAAGGCAGGTGTAAATTCCTTGAGTCTGCCTTCCAGAAGCTCATGGATTAGAGTGGAATATTAATTTTGACGTTCAGATGTAATCTGTGCTAGACCCTTTTCCACTGGACTATTGTGGGAAGAGTTATACACGGCCTAACATGCATTGGATCTGTTCCATATTTTATAGAGAGTAATGGGTGTGCTTGTTTCATCTTTATGGGATGTTCTGGAATTTTCTTTTTGACTATGCTTGTCCTTAACTGGTCCTGAAATATTTTTTTAGTTACTTGTTTTCCCAAGAACATTTAAAGGAAACGCTTTACTAACTGTGCCAAAAGTAAAGGTAACACAACTTTAGTGGGGAGAATATTCTGAATATAAAGACTAACCTGCTTTATAGTTATAAGCCTGTCCAGTTTTTTTTCCTCCCATTTTTGGATGGGAAACCTAGTTAGAGCAATAAGTTAGAGAATTAGAGCCCCATACAAATTTTATTGTTTTTAGCCATTATATATTTTGTATTGTGTGAAAAGTAAATAATAAAATATGTGTCGATGTGTTTATGTATTTTATTATTTTTGTCATGCTTTCTCTATTCTGCATGCTTCATATGTGTTTCCTAATTTGATTGGGAACGATTCAAGGGCAGTTGCTTCTTGCTTAAGAATGAGTTAGCATCTAAGATGAACTTGTTAGGTAGAAACTGAATAGCTAAGATTACCTTCCAGAATCCCTTAGGGGACATCAGGTTGGCATAACTTACTGTCTCTCAACATGCCCCATACAGCCATGTTTTCATCCTGACTTGGAATGTATCACAGTTTCTTTAGATGAACTCCCAGCGAAAAAATTGGTTTGTGTTTAGTCACCACTTTGTGTGTTTCTTTAAAAAGAAAAAAAGTATTAAAAACTAGAGTCATACAGTGTAGCAAGATGCTCACATTTTGAGACGCATGTGGTGATTAAAACAAACTAAAAGAGCAAGATTCTTGTTGCCCATCCTCCATTCACTCTGGAGCAAGTATTCAATACCTGAAATGGTAAGCAGAATCTCCAGTATTATTGTTTTTGTCTGTCTCTGCCTTCGTTTTTTTGGCCACAGTGTTTGGTAGATTCAAGAAAGTTAAATGTACGTAGACTCTGCTGTATGAACCAATTGATGGCAATAAGGTTTAATACGAGTAAGAAATAAAAGGTTAAAATTCTCCTTAGGATTTACCATGAAAAATCACCTCCTTTTGAAATGGCATAATGGAGGTTTATATGTGTGTGTGTATATATGTATATGTGTGTGTGTGTATATATATAGATAGATAGATAAATAGATATAGCTATGTATATATATATGTGTGTGTGTGTGTGTGTGTGTATATATATATATATATAAAAATGTGTTGATGTTGGCTGTTTTCTGAGTTCTGATCTTGCTAATGTTAACAGTATCACAACTCAATTTTTTAAAAAGGCACTGTAAAATATAAATATTCTTATTCACTGTTTAAACCTTATTCGTTGTTCATTTTTTAAGGTGCGTTTGTGGGTACAAAGTTCTATTTTAAGTATTGAAATCTTAAATTCTAATTTTACTGCATTTATAACCTACTCCTTCATGTCAGTGTTTTTATTCCTTAATCTGTACTATATCATTTTGACTATTTTTATCCCTTCAATAATTCTCTAGTATCCATAATTGCCAGCAACTAATTGCTGACTTTAAACTTATTAGGAAATATAGTTTGGCTGTTTTGGAGATTTTCTCATTTTTTAATAATGAAAAAATGCTAGTAACTATATTTTCCTAAAGTTGCTATCAAGCAGTCAGACCCTCTTTAGAGACACAGGTTTGGTTTATGAAGAATAAACATTACAATTTTTATATGTAGTACTTCAGAATAGTGTGTACTGGAACTCTAGCTCACTGATTATTGGTTAATATCATCTCACAAAAGGAAATATGATACCATTAGATTAGCTTTCTCTTTATTTGGAATGTAAAAAAGGGCAGTTACATTTTCAAGACTTTCTTTTTATCTGTACATATGTTTAATTAACAGTTTAATGATTTGTTCAGATAGCCACAGCCAGAACTTCTGACGAACAGAAATAGGCCTTTAGGGTTTTAATCCTTTAGGAATTATATTTATTCTGGGGCATTAAATATTTATTATTAACCAAATTTTTCCTTTATATATTTGTCATTTAGTGGATCATACTAAATGTGGAATAAAAATTAGTGAGGTAAAAATTGGTATGTAGGCCAATTTTTCTTAATTCTTATTCACTGTGATCTCATAAACCAGAAATTTTAACTATGAATGTTATGACTCATCTTTAAGACCTAGTTGAAGTTG